TTTTCATGGTTACAAATTTCAAAAAAATTGTATGGACGATTTTCTACGTAGATTAGGTGGTCTAAAACCTCTCAAAAACTGTCTACTTAGCTAACTAACAGTCCCCACACGGGAAAAAAAGAGTTCCCATATTCGTGAACCACAGCCGTGAACCATAGTTCACGGTGTATATTTGAGAAAATTTTGTTCTGGATAGCTGGCCGTGATTTTTAGTTCACGGTCCGTTCCCGTTTTCGGGAACGGATTTTTTTCCGAGCAAGTATTGTGAATCAGTTCTTAAATACTGAGGATCTAGGCCACAAAACCAAATCCTGTTAAAACCACAAGTATTATTGGGATGGCTCACTAGTCCAGTAAGATGGCTCTAGTAGCCACAGTTGCTACTCCGTTATTTGCAGACCAGTTGAACGAACCGATAATGCTTTGGAATAGCATTCATCCTCAATGTGCAATGTGCAATAGCGGCTTGGAACGCTTTAGACAGAATTGTTCAACAGTGGAGTTACTCTGCTCTACTACATAGAAAATTCACGTTAAACCTCTCTCGCGAAATTTTGAACAAAACTTGACAGACGCAACGCAGTTGTTAACTAACGCAACTTCAAAGTTCAGTAAAATTTCACGCATTTTCAAATAACAGTGATTACTCATGCACTGAGTAAACGGTACTCAATAATTGAATAAACGTAACTCAAAAATGTCGGAAACTGAGTAAAGTTCACTCAATCATTGAGCACTGTTTGCTCAATTATTGAGTACCATGTACTCAGTGCATGAGTGTCCCCAAAAAAATTAAATTCTACTCAATTTTGAGTTAATCTCAGCATCAGTGTATGCAACCTTTAGTTCTAGTTTACAATAACCAATCTTGCAAATTTATACTAAACCTATCACACATGTTATTAATTGTAGACATTTACAAAATTGTGTCTAATGGTGTAATCGTGGGGAGTTAAAATGCAAATTGTTGTAAAATTCCTGAGCAGTTCCACCATGAGTTCTGTGAAGTTATCTTAAACTTTACAGATAAACATCTGAAGATCAGAATAGTAGCCTCTTTTTTTCTCTGTTCGGGACCTAACACTACTGCGACCAGTAAATTGATCTATTGTAGTATATCCCGTGTCCTTAGTTTAGTGCATGTCGTATTACTTCATCACTATTGAGAAATGATGAAGTATTCGATTTTTTTACGGTTGCCACTCTTGTATTTATCGCAAGGATCCGACTCTAATTGAAAGGTTCCGCTATTTATACCCTTCGGAGTGTTGAAACACCCTCCAAAGACGCGCCCCTTTGTCGGTCAAAATTGGATTCCTTAGCAACACAATTAAGGTATGACACCGATAATGACCATGCATCAGAACCCTAGTCTTAATCACTTCAAACTAGGGAACAACGAATAGAAGATTAGGAATCACATAGATGAAGACAACTAACTCATTTTTTTCCTTGTTTCAAGATCATTCTCGGTAGACAAAGCCGAGTCTTGTCACTATCAACAAGGCATAAAAAGTAACAAGGACTAAGATGTGTTCCTTGGATTACTGAAAAATCCTGTTCCCCTAGTTTGAAGTAGCAAGGACTAGGAATCGGTGGTAGATCTTACATCCCGTTACGTACCACGAAAAGGTGATCTACCCACGTTACGGGGCAAAGTAGCCTCGTGAGCCCCATTAAAGTTTCGCAATAATTCTTGTGGTATTTCCTGAGGGATTCTTGCATAGTTTTGCGACATAAGTACTGTGCATTTTGCTCTACAACAGTTTAAAAGGACGTTTCCTTGTATCTATCATTGGTATAAGGAAGGTCACAGTGTGTTTTCTAGAATAGTATTAATTCCTCCGACGGTGAATTTCAGTAGAGGTATCAAAATGAAGGGAAATCCCCTTCTTTCAAATGGTGAAGATTCTGGGAATGCTGAGTTTATATTATTAATATAATTCTAGCAACACCGTGAGGTCCCTGCAATCATTGAGATTTTTTTTAATTCATGAATTTCAAACAAAATCTTCGACATAGATGTTCCTGTTGCATTTTGAACATTACAATTCGGCCACTTATAGGGTATTTTCGTACTGTTTATTACTTTTGTTCTCATTCTTTGTTTTCCCAAATCTGACAATTCTTATTTGTTTTTCTTTCAGGTAAGGAAAGTTCCACGCCGCCTTATAAGTAATCAACAGGTGAGTATTGTATGCATTTTTAAAACCATTTTAATCTATTCTGGGGCCTGTTGTTAAGTTTGAACCTCTGAAGTGATGAGCGGCTCTTGATGGTATCGAAATCTACATCTTTCCAAGAAACATGATTCACTTCGCTCACCGATTAAGACACATTAAGTGCACGTCTGTCTGATCGAATCAGTTCCCGGTAAGTTTCCAACCAAATAGAAAATCAATGCCGACGAACTGACATTCGTTTCCAGTAAGCCCCAGTTAGAAAACATGATTGCAGACAATCCATTTCCCAGAGTTCCCCCATCGGAAAGAACGTCAACCACAAACTCATTAACGACAATGTCCACCTTCGTCCCGTTTTTCTCTCCTCTTCGGCTCAATCAGACGACGCTCGACTTCATCGAAAAATTCATAAACTCTCTTATCGCATAAATACCAGACATTCCACCTGTTTCCTGCTGCTGCTGCTGCTCTGTCTCGGCCTAACCACTGAACCAAAAATGTGTACATATTACCAATAGTTCGATTTATTACATTGTCAACCCCCTTCCCCATGTTCGCGCACACACACTTCGCCAGACACACCCAGAGTCGCATTTCCTCATCTTCATTTAAACGGCGTTCCCCCAGGAACCCACCGCCGCCGGCCCAATGACGACGACGACGACGACGACGACGGCAAACGGGATACCCCGCCACACACCAACCAATGAATAATTAACATTCAAAATGTACGGAGAAAACATGATTCATTTATCACATAATTCGTTTTCCTCTCGATTTCGTTCGCCTCGCGACCCGAATCGACGGAATCGGCACGCAACGCAACGCTCCCTAGAATATGCTCCACCGAACCCCACACAACTTCGTCCATACACATAAGGCGCAAGAAGAAGAGCGACCAGCGGCGGTGCACTGCGCTGAAGTAGCAGCGAGAGCGAACGAAGAGGGGAGCGACCGAGAGCGACGAGAATGCGCTTCCCTTTCGTTTGTGTGATCTGCTTCCTTCACTCTGTGCTGGTGCTGTAATAGCAAGCATGTATGTGAAGTATCCGCCTCCTTTCCTCCACCGGCTACCTCAACCGAGCACAGCAGTCGCGAGTCACCAGGATGCACCACCCCCTCCTCTTGAGAGCTCGCTCTCTTTCTCCTGTTCTCTTTCATTCTCGTTCGTTTCGTTCTACACGCACGCATACCTACACGGTCAGTCAGTCGTTAAGTAAGAATGAACGAGGAATGCACGAGCTTGTATCCGATTAGAAGGCATTTGACAATTCCTATTGGAATTGCTTATTTTCGTTGAACTTTTTAGGCGAAAAATGCATTTCAGCGTACAATTTTGGGCTCCATCGTAATCAATCGCAATGTTACGTCACATCCGACCGACCCCTTTGGCGGAGACCGAGATCCACTCGCCTACTGGTCTTCTGCTGGCGGCGCTCTGTGTGTATCGGAATCCGAAAAACACGGATACTCTCCCGCTCTCGCACACCAAACCGTCCGACCGACCAACCGACCGAACAGTAGGGCCCAGCCAGACGTTCCTGCACCACCAATCGCGAAACAAACTGGCGACGAACAGCGAGCGAGAGGAAATCATATGTTTACAACCCGCACACGCGTCTGACTACCGCTTGCTTGGATGGGTGGTTGGTCGGTGACGACGCGACGCAGGAACCTCGGAAAACAGGGGGTGTTGTGACGGAGATCATGGTTTTCCGCCCGTCCGCTTTGTGTTGCTATTCGCCTCTCTCTTTTTCTCTCTCTCGCGCTCTCCATTCTCCGCCGTTGCGCCAGTTTTCGATTTCGTTCACCCATTCCTTCACGAATGCAGCGGGCACACCGCCACCGACTCCATACGATCAAAAAGAATGCAAATTTTCCGTGTACGAACACGGAAAGTTTCGCTTTTAATACACCAACACAACGGCACGGGAAAATAGGGGGCGCCCGTGAGAGTGATGGGCGCTGGTTCAGCCATGCACCAAGGTGCACACGGGATGCACACAATCCCATGGATGGTTGGGTGAATGGGATTGCAAATCACTGCTACTTCTGTTTGCTGTGTTGGTTGGCTCTCTCCATCCACTCACTCGGTTCGTTCCTTCGGCTCTCTCTCGGGTGTCGTTCGCTTAGTCGCGCTCTCTCGCGACTATGCTGCTTTGGAAAAGTAGAGGAAGGTCGGAGTACAGAGCTGTCATTTCTTATATCGTTTCGTCATTCCGAAACAAGAACGGACCGTGTGAATACGCGTTTTGTTTTATATCGTTGCTCGAAACGATTTTTATACAGCATAGATTTATATTTTCCTCCTTAGTTGTTTCAAAAAAGGGCAAAAATTACTAGGACAAATTTATCAGGAGAAAAAGTGTAATCCGCGGACTGCCACAGTCAAGAATATTCGAGAGATTTTTCGTTTGAGTTCTCCGTGTTTCCGTTCAACACAAGTGCAAGCAAATCCAACCAAGTGACCAAATCTCGTCCAAACGGAGAAGACAGAAGCAAATCAGTGGTTTCCCTGTATCGTTCGTCACGAAAACAAAAAAAAAGTAACAAACGAGTCTACCTCAAAATCAAAACCAACAGTGTTTTTTTTAACAGTTACTGAGCAAGTCAGAACCAAGTTCGTAATCAATACCTACCCCCCAAATGTTGTCGGAAAATCGAATTTTCCCTCGCACCGTACGACCACCAGCAGTCTCGGTATCATATGACTCTGAGCAAAACTAAAACTTCAAGTGTCAGACGTCGGGCAGACGTCAAGTTACAATAGACCGCCCCATCCCTGCTTGTTGGCGTCGTCAGTTGCTACGAAAGAGGAGCAGTGTGTGGAGGTGGGACTCTCAAGAACACAGTGAAAAGTGAAATTTTCCTCCAGTTAGTGGAAGAGCACGCAGACAGACACAATTTCCGAGAGCGTGTCCCATTGAACAAAAGTGAAAAGGACGAGAGTTTCCCATCTTGCTGTACCCGAGTCGTTCCCGAAACCGACGAACAAGAGCACAGTATCCAAGTTGAAAGTGAAAACTCTGGAAAGTCGGGCGGACGGGCGTGAAGCCTTTGGCAGTTCCGTCGTCGTCGTGATACCAGAAGTGTGTGGAAAAACAGAAAAATCAAAAAGGATTACCGTGTCCTATCTGGGGGGTGGTGTAGGCAGGCGGCCTATTTTTTTGGTCGGGCCTATCCGCGTGTGTGCGTGTGACCGAGTGAATGTTTTGCCGTGGCGTAAAGCCGGAAGAACACGGAAAGCAGAATTATGATGAATAGTACACTTTCCGGTTGCGGTCGCCAAGTATGACAGTGAAGCAAAAAGTGTCTCCGTGACTCAGGGATTGTGAAAACAGTATATTTGAATACACGGGGGGAAAAATCGAAATGACACAACCAGAAAGTGCTGTCGTAGCTCCAACTCGTCAATAATTACTAACGTGGTGTGTGCTGCTAACGAGGCAGCCAGAAAAGTGTGAACGGTAAACGCGCCAAGTGGTGCACAAAAATGTTCCACTTAATTGGAAGTTTATCGACTTGACATAATAAAGAACAACAACGGCATATAATTACAGTTACATATGAAAATGAACCGCATTCAGAATAATCAACCCCTAGAACCATTATCTCTAGTGAATAGTGTTTGTAGTTAAAAGCAAGAAGAATGTTGTAGCCAATTATTAAAGAGCCTCTAGTGAAAATTTATTCTCTGTTGAAAGTAAACAAATTGTTGAAAACAATAGTGCAAAGTGTCAGTTCAAAAAACACACCAGAAAAAAAAATAGACCTATTTACAAACACACTCAAACACACAATAGAACAAACCGTGAAACAGTGTCGCCATCCACAATGATGATGCTGCAGCACATGTCACCCCACTTTGGGGGTGGCCAACAGACGACGACGGACCATCCTGGGTCATCTCCGCGTTCCGTAACGCCATCTCCGCCAGCACAGAGTCCTTCGCCGTCGCCACCGATCCACCAGACTCACCTTCCCGAACGAGACTACCCCTTAGACGAGCAACCCTCCAGAATCATCTTCCGTCGATCTTCGCTACAGCCGTCCGACGAAGAGATACCACACTACAAACGGGAGCCCCATTCTCGTCCTAGCACTCCACCAGCATCATATGGTCATCACGTACGAGACACCTCTCCGGCTATAGATAGCTACACCGAACACTACCACCCCCGTTCCCGAACGCCACCGGTCACTCCAACGCACCATCGCATCACCTCCGTCATTCAGGAGCGCAACGTCATCCGTTGCATCAAGGAGGAACGACCGCAGCGCCGCAGTTCGATCGAAGAAGATCAACAGGTAGCTCAGTACTATCGCGATCACCACGCCCTACGCTACCAACCACATGGCGGCGAAGACGACGAAGCATATGATCGTGAAAGTCGCTTCTACCGTCGTCAGTACAACGATGACGTCCCCGAAGAAGACCGCCACCACTACAGCTACCGCCGACGGCGGCTCTCTGAACGACGTGATAGCCTTCAGAACGATCCCGACTCGGACTACAGTGACAGTCAGGCTGGTGGCGCCGTCAGTGGCGATAACGATCATTACCCCAAGTCCGAGGAGGAGGAAGGCGACGACGACAGGCCGCTGGATCTGTCGATGAAGATCAAGCGACGTGCACGGAAGGACTCTGGCAGCGATTCGGACGATTCGGCAGGACCAGACTCCGACGGAGTGCCCCGGGATCGTCAGGGACGGGCAGCCTACAAGAAAAGTCTAATGAAGCGATACCGTAAGTATTGCGTGAAGGGTTCGATTGGACCTAAATTTCTCGAATATTTTCCCCTTTTCCCATATGGTTTCTTTGCGCAACAATAGCTAGCGCGCTGCGCATGCCATCAAAGGATTTCTCTCAAGAGGGTTCCATCAAGAAAAAAATATATACGTTAATTGAAAGTCGACGACTTTGTATGGATGAAAACAAGTTCGCTTGTTCGTCTGCGCCGGAAGGGTGCCGAAAGAATGTTTCGCATCACTGAACCAATCAATCGATGAAGCGCCATTGATGAGACGGCATTTGCATAATTGATGCTTTTCCGCATAATTATATCCGAATCAGGATCAGGCCGTGGGAAGTTGAACGGTCGTTCTGTGGTGACCTATTTTCGGGCCACGCCCTGCTTCAACCCAAGATTTCAGTGAGTGTCGTGTTCCATTAGGCGCGATGTTTACACTCACGACACTGGCAGGCAGGAAATGTGATACATCATTTTTCTTGAGACTACAAGCTCTAAAAGTTCTGCCTACTCTTGTCATCTTCTTGAAGCTCTAGCTAGCAACAGAGCAGCCTGACACACGCACAGCCAGACATCCGGCAGCCACTTTTGCAACTTAAACGAGCGAAAAATCAATAGCCGAGAAACTTCTGAAACGGTTTATGTGGTGATGGCACCACACATAGGAAAACAGCGGAAAAAGCCCCCCCAAGGGCAAAGGAAAATCTTCCTCTGCTCCGAACTTTCTTGACACACTTTGGGCTGCCACTAAATGGAAGCCGGCTTTGTACATGTAAGGGTCTCCGTTCCGCGTACATACACGGGGAAACCGTAAATAATCTACGAAAATTTCACTTCCTTGCTTCCGTTTCGTGTCAGCCAGTGCTTGCCGCAACGTTGTCATCCTTCTGCCTACCTCTGCCTCGGGAAACACAACTTCCTATACCTATAGCACATTTGTATGTGCCCACCTTCCCGTGTGTTTCGCTCCTGTATTGATCTACCTCTGCGTGCCCATTACACAACCCAGCCGTCGAGAGCTGCAAGTTTAAAATGCCTTTCCGTCTCCTGTTTCCCCTTCCTCCAGCAACGACACATGGGAGATCCACAAGAAAAACTTGTCCGTCTTCTTCGGATTTGCATCCGCCGTCGACGCCGTTCGTTGTCCAAGCATTTGCTTCAAACCCAACCCACGACTACCACCGGTGCCGTCTTTCGTCCATACAAACAATCGTTAGTGGTTTCTCGGCCCAATCGTCTCGTAAATGTGTTGCCATTTTTCTTGTTTCCGTCGTGTCCCGCTGCGCCTCCAACGGTTCCTACAATCTGCCGGTCGGACAACTTGCTCCCCACAAAGCGAGAAAGTGTGTGCGCCCACCAGAGAGAGAGAAAGAGCGAAAGAGATTGTACCGTCGTTTCAAGTTCAAGGTCTTTTTCATTACAATAACACTATCGCCGCGCGAAATATACACAGCAGAGGAGGCAGAAAAGCGAAACTTCGGAGCCGCATAAAAGCCGTCATCGTCGTCTTGGTCGTCTTTCTCGTGCGTCCGCCGGGAAGACGGGAAGACTCGCCAACATATGCACAAACACAAAACCACAAGTAGGCAGCGAACCTCCTCGAGCTCGAGCGCACCTTCTACTCTGCATCGAACAACAAGCGCTGCTGTGATGACCGGAGTAGGCGCAGGAAGGAAAGCCAAGAAATAAATACTTGTTTGTTTGTGATGCTTCGATTTCCTCTTTTGCGTTCTCCTTCCCCAATCCAACGGAACGGGTGCTGTACTGCTGTACTCTCTCTCTCTCTCTCCGTTTCCTAATGACCACCGTCTGGACGAATGTGTCAAAATTCGCCGACCACAACCACCGTAGTTATCTAACTTTTCTTCCGATGATAAATGATGCTAAAAAGTTGTAAATTTCACAAATCGCTCGCCTCCGCCCATCTCCGCTCGAAAATTGCATGTCGTAGAAAAATCCACCCCACAGCAGTTCCACTTGGCTGACGAATCTCACTACCTATCAGATTTCCACCAACTTAAGCGAAGATGTCTGTCTCTCTGTGAAAGTCCACGGTAGCGGAACACTCCTCGGATTGATCACTGCACACCCAGCAACAGCAACAGCCAATAGCATCAAGCGGCAGTTCGTTTGACGTTTCCCTAGAAACAAAAGAAGCGCAGAAAACGAAAACATCATAAAAAATACTCACACGCAAAGATCCCCCCTCCCCGTCCAAGCAGGCGAGGGTAGCGGCGGATGCGTCTTTCAACAATTTGCACACACTTCGTCATCGCAACCGATCACTCCCTCTCGTTTCCCGTTGTGCGTGTGTGTATGTGTGCAAATGATGTTTTCATTCCATTATTATTTATTCGCTCCAGTTCTGGAATTTGTTTTTGTTTCAGCTTCTGCTACCGCCGCCACCCCCGCCACCTACTGCGTTCTAGGGCGGCTTGTGGTTTTCTTCTTTTTCCATCGATGCGAAGATGATTCCGCCAAAGTAATGTATTTATTCAGAAGAGCTGCCGCTGCTGCAGCAATCGAGAAGAATTTTGTCGTCGAGCCGTACTCTCGTTGCCAAGAATTGGGAAACCGTAAAACCAGGTTTTTTATTCCTCTCCGTCGCTGCTTTTATTACCAATTTAGCCAGTTGTTCACTTTTTTTTTTTCGCCGGCCACGACGACACTGTCACCAATTCAAAAGATGTTCCGTTATGCAGCCAGACACTGTCTTTTGACAGTTAGAAGACTTCCTTTTCTTTCGCTGCCAAAGCGCACACTGCGGTTTTCGGAATTCGACTATCAAAGCTCAAATTACCGCCCGTTGCTATACGCGACAAGAGTGGGAGAAGAATGCACTGATCAAATTTCGCACATTCAATTGCAGCGCGCTACCTGAAAGGGAAAAGTAAAACAAACAAAAAAACGATAGCTTGAAATTCACAGCTTTATCTCAAACAAGATTTTCCCAGCAAAGCAGAGATTGTCGGAAGCCATTCAGATGAAATCGACCGTGATCAATACCGCAGTATGTATTGCTGGTAGAAAAAAAAAGTCCCTGTGATCAATATTTAATCAGATTAGAGATTCGGCTTCAGGTTCCGGCCAGCGCAAAATGAAAATCAGCAAAACGTGCACACTGTAATAAGCGCGACGGAAGAAGCAATGTGTACACAAACACTTCAGGTGACACAAACATCACGTTCAGATATTCTCTCATTTGGCATTTATTTACCTATTGGCCTCGTCCACGCTTTTCCAGTAATTTATTTTCTATTGTCGGACGCGCGCGCGACATGGGGAAATTTCACGACATTTACGATTTACACCGCATATCGGTGCAAATCACGTGTCTTGAGAGTAAATGTCCATCATGTCATCACTGATAAAAAAAACCTACCCTCTGATTAGTAAATTTTAACACGTACGAGAGAAATTTACATTCCGTTCGGAAGCTAAGGCTAAAAAACAAAATAATGAACTCGAAATCGTGTCGAACAAACAATCGCCGACGACGGGGCCTGCAAGTGAACGAGACCCGAGAGGTAGGTCATGGTCGATGAGTTAACAAATTAATTTATATTACGTATTCAAATTTTTCCGGTTGTTCGTTTCCTCCTTCTTCTGCTGTTTGCCACCAGCTATGAAATACATGGACAGCAGTCATAGTGCAAGTTCCATTGTTCCACATTTCAATTGCTGCACCTCACTGGATCATTTTCGTTGGAAATTTTACGAACAGCCAACCAGTGAAATTTCGCAAGTGCTTCGTCGCTGTCTTCTGCAAACACAATAGAGCACATGTCAAATGGTTCGCGTCTTTTTTTTACCGAAAGCAGATCACCGCCACTGGCGCCATTGCATAACGATGCAACGTGGCTGATGTCAACTTCCCACACGCATCATGAGCCGAGCGGATGACCTGCTCCAGTCCCCTCAACAACATTATGACACACAGCAGAGGGCGCTAATTGATTCGGCAGGCTGGGCAGGCATGACGGACGGACGGCCAACTACGGCGGTGAAATGGCGTAATTCGATTCTCCTTTTCTCTGGCCTTCACAATCACGTGCTAAACGATTGCCGAAATATTATAATTATCGATGCATTGGCTGCTACTGTCACCACTGTTACACTGAACGAAAACTGCCCATTTATTTCCGACGGCAAACAGGAATCCACATTGAGTTCTATTTGCCAAAGCAAATTAATGTCGTTTCAGTTGTCAAATTCTCCGAATCGGCTCTCGAACACGGTCGTGCTCGCATCGCCGAAGCGGATGAGACGAATTGAATTGACATTAAAATGAAAATGAGATAAAATTATCGTAAAAAACATGTGTCTGAGTGCGCTGAAAGCAGCGGCGCAGTGGTTCCGTTGTTTGTCTCTTCGCTGCTCTGCTACAGCTTCATGAATTGTAAATGTTGAACATTCGCAGGAAGCATACTATCTCCTGCTTTTGCCAGACGTGGTTGGATTTCTCCGGAAAACTTCTGGTGAAAGTTTTTCTCCGATATCTGGACGGACTGAAGAAATCAAAGTGAAGGGCGTTTTCCTGGTACTGCTACTGTGAGCAACGTATGCTAGGCCAGCTTCGATTCTGAGTATATCTGGAATGACGTCAGGAAAACTGCTGCTGCTTCTCTCAGTAGGCGCCGCTCCGTTGCTATAGTGTCTCGTGTGCTTGTAGTGTCGTTATATAACTACATACTACTTACTTTTCACGCTAATAAAAACAATCCAGGACAAGGTTGTTTAACTTTTATATAAACATCACACAGCAGCAGCAGTGCATGATCGTTGTCGCGTCGCTCTAAGACACAGCAACAGAAGCGCACGGGGAAAAAAGCGTTTACTCACTTATTTTGCACACTCGGAGGCCCTCTCAGCGTATGCTCTCCGCCAGCCATTCGATTATTCTTATTCTCCGTCTCGCTTCTGACTGGCGACTGCGATTAGCGTCTCTGTTTGCCCTCTCGTTCGTTGACAGTTCCTTATTTACATGTCCACCTGA